GTAAGATATGACAGTGAACTTGATAAAATCCACACACAATATTCGTGCTATCAACTATGCTGGTTGGACTGGAATCCATTCGAGGTAGATATTCTAAAATGAACAACATTTTTGCGACTTTTACCATCAGTTTATAATTTGACGGTGATCAAATAAAACCACGTTACTGCTTCTCAATTTTTTTTGTTTAAGTTATTTCTGTGCGTAATTCAAACGAAAATGTTATTGAAAAAGAGTAAATAATAAATTCTCATTGCTTGCTCATAGTCAATTTCTTTAAAATTATTAAAATTACCCTTTCAATTAAAATAAATGTAATTATTCTAGATTTAAAAGACATTTGCCCAAGAGGTGAACATTGTGTGCATCATAAATTTTCGCTGACCATCGAAAAGCGAAATTTTCGTGAAAGAAATAGAGTCAAGGCCATAAATGTCGCATTTCAAGAGCTTCAGCTTACCATACCATCGATTTCGCAACTCAATAAACGAACGTCCAAAGTTAAAATTCTCATGAAAGCCATTCAGCATATCAAAGAATTGGAAGCATTACTGTTTTTCAATTTTCCGCAGCAAAACAACGAAAATTAAGATTTTTTTTATTTTATTCATATTTTGCATAATTATTGTTAAAATATGTGTATAAAAAGTGTTTTTTAATGATTGTTACTTTTAAGACATTGACTTTCATTATTTTTACAAATACGAGCTCATACAATATGTGGATCATGCAATACATGGCACTATCCTGATAAGTTGGACTTGGCAAGAAAGGCATTAATTTCCGAGAGGTTTAAGCCGAATAAAGTAGATTATATCGTGGATCGAATAAAGTTTACGTTTCCTTTTAATTAATTTTTATTTGTTTGATTCATTTTGTTTTTAAGTACTTTTATGTTAATTTTAATTTCAATATTATTCCACTTAATTTTCAGATCTTCGTGAATTTTAAATTGAGATGATTTAACAAATATAATATGGGGTGTTAACTTCTTCCTCTTTTCCTGTTATAGAACAATGCCTAGTTGGCCAGCTGTCAAACTCAAATATGAATTTTCATGGTTCAAGTGACAGGGACAACCACATAGATTTGACAAGGTTCTTCGCAAATACATTTTTTTTCTAAATAGAGTGAATGTTCAGACAGACTTTTATCTAAAACTTGGAGCACTCTCAATGAATAGATTAGATATTCTTATTTGCAAACACGAAGAAATAGATTTTCGAATTCAGTACTGAAGAGAGTTTTGTTTTAACTCTTGTATGTCAATGAAAAGATTCATTTCATTTTATACCTTAAATTAGAACGATAATAGTAAACATAATAACACATTTGAATATTTAAATAGAAACTGAATGCACTTAAACTTATTTTCAACATGCTTGCCAAAACACATATGAAATTTCTTAATCTAAAACAATAACTTCGGTATCACTTTTGCGAGTTTTCGATGATCCGGCAGAGCCTGGCCAAATGATAAGAATGGAAAATAATTAATTTGGTTTTAATAAATATTGAATGGCTTTTAAATTGTTTTACTTGTTGAACTTGGCCGGGATTGAGAGTTTGCGTCATGAAACTGCCGTTGCCGTTCTGCTAATTTTTGTTGAAGAGTTTTTGTTGGGCTGAAACAACACAGTTGTACAGTAAGTTAGAGAGTGTCATTAACACACTATTGTGCTTCTAAAATTACCTTATTTGTAAATTGGCTGAAAGTTGATTCGGTGCCGTTTGCAGTGGTGAGAAATTTGTTGCCATTGTTTGGGATACACTAGAGATTGTTGTACCGTACGCATTTAAGACTGTTGATGGACTCCTCGACATTGGTGGATTTTTAACGTTGATAATGTTGGGTGTTTGGAATGATGGTTGCTTTGATTTTTGTGTGGTTTTTTCAGTAATTTTCGGCGTTGTACGTCCTTGCAGTTGTTCCAATTGTTTGACTTTAATCGTTGATTTCGGTTGTTGAGTTGTTGCTTGACTCGTAACTGTGCTTGATTTCGTTGGTTTGGGTGCCGCAAGTGGAGCTGTTGGTATGCCAGATATGAATTGTTCATAGTGCGATAAGAAATTGTATGGATTTGGAGCCAATTGCATTGGACTTGATTGGAGTGATTTTTTGAGTAATTCCATTCCGGGTATTTGAGATGTTGCTTTTTTCGATTGGGGTGTAATCATTTTGTTACCATCGATTGACTTCTTCTTTGGTTTGGTTTCTTTTACCGGTTTGCCAGTTTGAAGAAGATCAACGTTTATCGGTGATTTGGTCGATAATTTTGGTGGTACAAATGAACTTGGCGATGGTATTATGCTGAGTGATTTCGGCAAATTCATTGCATCCATCGGAATGGGTGGCATAACTGGGTAGGGATTTGCGCCGAGAGACGATCGTTGGGCTTTCTGTGTTATTTTTGCCAGTTTATTTCCGGTCGAACGTCGTACTTTTGGTTTTTGCACGATGAAACTTGGTGCGGGCATTTGGGGCAGATGAACTGATGTAGGCGTTGGATTCGACTGTGTAATTGAAATACTAGGTGTTATCGTCAATTGTCCGCTTCCTACGCTTATGACAGTGGATGCTCCTGATTTCAATAGATTCGGCGAAGACGAAACAGGTGTAATAGTCGCCGATATTGATGGATTTATAGCCGAAATTGATGGTTTCGATGGCGATGTTGTCAGCGAAGAATGTGGTTTATTTGCTGTCGGAAATATTGACATTGAAGCCGGTGTTGATTTTGATACCGTTGATGTCTTTTCTATTTTGGTCGCTTTCATTTGCGTCGGCATAAGGCTTGCCATTGACGTCGGCATAAGGCTTGCCATTGACGTTTGAGCTATAGTTTGCGTTAGAGTTTGCGTCTGCAAAGCCGTTGCCAAGTAGTTAAATACAGTGTTAAATCCCTCAATGAGCTGTGGAATATTTACGAATTTTGAAATCGTAAAATATTCACGCAGCAATGTATTTCGGCTTGTTGGATCCGGAAAACGTGCAACAGTAGTCATAAAATTGGGTTCGGCAATCAAAGCCAACACCGTGGCCACAACAGTTGGATCAAGTTTAGCGGTGACTGCTTCCAAATTTGCCAATGCAAATGGTTGCAATAATGAAGTCAATGCTGCATTCTTTGATGCATCCGTTTGTGCTTTCGATACGGAATTTTTGCTGCCCGGTGGTCGTCCCCTTGGTCGTGACCCCACTGGTGTTATGGTTGTCGTACTTGTTGTTGTGGTTGTAATTGTTGGAATGCTGCTTATTGTGGTCGTAGTCGTTGTTGTTGGGAGCGTACTCACTGGTGGCGGAGCCAATGGTTTAGTAACAAGCGGACTCTTACGACCAGTTGGTGCTATATTTCCAGCGCTTACCGGAGCTGGATACGATACACTTATTTTGGACAAACTAGGACCGAGATTCTTCAATCCAAGCTCTTCTAGTGTCTGCCGCTTTCCAGTCAATTGTTGTTGTTTGTCTTGACTCTTCAGGCCATTCGTTAAACAAACACAAAACTTATTGGCACTATCGAAATAGTTAACATTTTCTTGAAGCAATGCTTTTCCTTCGGCATACGATTTATAAGCATCAACCATCACACCAGAGAATGCTGACTCTTTTTGTGATACATTTTTTAGCTTTTTATGTGCTTTGTATATTTCAATAAGCATTGACAAGATTTCATTGTCATTTCGTTGTTCGACTCCATGTTTCTTCAACAATTCCTTGAATGCATGTACACAGAATGTCATCGCGTGATCAAACAAATCTTTGCGTTCGATGTCTTTGATGTATCGTCTGGAATAAAAGAGGAACATTTTTAATTCGATTGTATAATATAAATGGTTTTTGAGACATACTTATCAGCATCGGGGACACGTTGCATGTAGAAAATAATTTCCAAAAATAATTTGTAGTCTTGATTTAGTCGCAATGTTTGCATCAAAATATTGACACATTTTGAAAGGTGGGCTGAAAAACTGCCGGGACGCTCAATTTCGGATGAATGATTTCGCCAAAATCCCTGCAATTTCAAAACAAATTTTATTACATCGATAGTTTTTGTGCATTCTTTCACAGTGGCTTCAAGTTCAATTTGAACAAAAAAGCTCAAAACTTCGATTAGCCCAAAAAAAATTATTTCAATTCAAACATATCGAATTACATTGAAATGACGACAAACTTACATTGAATAAATTATTATTCTTTCGGTCCGTGAACAAGCCTTGAACTTGATTGCCCAGCTCCGTTGTGTATGTGCCCAATAAAAGTAGATTGCATTTTTGAAGATCTCTAATTTTCTCCGGCCCATTCATATAAATAAGTACCAAGCGATAAATCGATTTATGATGCTCTGGATATCGTGTAATGCATTCTTCAAGATTCTTAATGCACATTTTATAAATAAAATCAATGCGTTTTTCATCTAACGGTGCATTTTCGTCTTTATTTGAATCGTCCTCACTGGAGCTATCATCACTGTCTGAGCTTGAATCTGATGTGCTGCTCGAATCAGAGCTCGTAGAGGTTGAATCCGAGCTGGTGGTCGTAGTTGTTTGTGTCGTCGTTGTGGCCGTACTTTCTTGAGATCCCCGCCTTACCGGGCTGCCAACATTCTCTTCAATGATACTAATCACCTCAGGATTTTGTGGCTTATCGCCTTCAACAACAGTTGTTGTCTGTTCCATTTCCCCAGTTTCCGGATCTTTGTTTTCCACTTTCATCTCTACAACTTCGTTCACCTCAGTTTCCTCTTGAATCAACGGCACTGGTTCATCAGTCGTTTCGATTTTTACAGTATCCATTTTTATTGGTTCGGTTTTCACCGATATCAATATTTCCGACTCATTTGGATTTGTATTTTCCTTTGTTTCACATGATGATTTTCGAGCCACTTCAATTTTAGCCACTTTTGTTTTATTTGTCTCTTCATTCGTCACATTTAATTTCCGTTTGCGTTGAAGATGTGCATTCAATATATTTTCATTGATTTTTGCTTGACTCATTGCAAATGGACTTTTGGCTTGTTGTTTTAATATTTTCATAAAATATTTACCAATTCCATAATTAACCACTGAATGTTGTTCCAAATATTTGATAATCGTCGCCGTGATTCGATAGAATATTTCTAGAGCTTCAAGTGCCAAATTTTGTGGATTGGCCGAACTGATTTTAAACGGATATGTGGCATTGTTCTCATACAAATATTGAGCCGATTTAAGATAATGATCGATAACAACATTTGGTGGTTCTTTACGTTTTTCAGCCACTTTCCCAAGCATATAATGATAAAGCCATTTTTCATCGTCCGAATTGTCGTCGGATTCGATATCGGTTGGTATCGGTTTCATGCTATCCATTGTGATAAAGCAATCATGCGTTATTTTCAAACATTTCTCTTTTTTCTGCTCCAAAAATGAGAAAGTTTCCGTCGAAAGATTTTCAGCGGTTTGTTTCAGGCATCTTGAACAATATGAATGTAGTGTGTATGCGTAGCTGCCATATTCAATCCATAGTTTTTGCTGTTGTCGATCGATTTTCAAACATTGTTCAAAGCAACGCAGCACTTCGTCCGACTCTTGGATCATTTCAACCGGCGTGTTGTTAACGCACGAACTTAATTTCGTCAGCATCAAATCGGCTTTGGACAATGTTAAACCCGCCCAGGCATCGAATCGTGTCGGTGAATTACTCAAGTCAGCGATGTAGTATTTCAAAGCCTTTGAAATTTCTTTGTTTTTGAAGTAATAATCGGCCAACAAATAGTAAATCGAATTTATATGAAACGGTAGAATATCGAGTGGTTTTGGTAATTCGTTCAATTGTCCGCTTATGAATTTTTCCATTGCATCGCAACGTGTGCTTAGATCGATTTCAGCTGGTATAATCGCAATAATTCGTTGAAATAATTGTTCCATTTCATTTGTAATGGAGTCGCGTTTGAAATCGTCAAATTCTGGCAATTTATCGGGCCGATAAATATCGTACAGTTGTATGGCATGATTCCAGTCCAATTCGATATTTTGTGATTCATGCTTTTCAAGGTGTTTAAGACGTGCCCGTTTGCCCGGATATCGGTAGAGACAATACGTGACTTGTTCCAAATATTCGACGATTTCATTGCGAAATCGTTCCAAGTATGGTGTTCGCAAGCGTGGCGTTACGGTATCCATAATAAATAGTAGAAATTGACCACTATCTTTGGTGCACCATGTACGATTGCCGAGATACTCATGCGCTGTGAAGAACACTGAAATCGATTTTGGAATTGAATCCTCTTCGTAATCGGTGATTTCTCCTTCGTCTTCTTCGACTTCGTCAGCCACCACATTTTCATTCGATAAACTGTTATCGCTGGATACTTTTCGTTTTGTACTCGATTTCATATCTTCTTCGCGTTGCAAAATGTGATGTAAAATAACCCATGGTGTTTTTAAATTGATGGGATGCACTTGGCTGTTACATCTATCGTCGTTGTCCAATTGATTCGAAAGAATTTTCACAATGCTTTGAATGAGACGTGCATAGTATCGTCCAAGACATTTGACTATTTGAAAAAAAGTTGACATTTGAAATATTGAATTTGAATCTAGTGAAACACTACAATTACTGACTGATTCTTAAATAAAAAGAAAAAACATAGAGTAGATTATATAAATTGAACAGAAATCGATGATGTTGATTGAATCAAACTCACCAATCAAATATGATTCATCTAAAATGATCGCCTCTACATATGTCAAAATGAAATTTATATTCTTTGCCCATTCGTTATACAATGACTTGTTGTCCGAAAATTGATCAATTGAATACTTCAAGCAACGTTCACACCAAATCAAACACTCTTCAACCGATCCCAAGCTCCAGAAACTCTCTAAAATTATTTCAAATTGTTCACTCAATTTCATCACTGGATTTTCAACTTTTTTCGATTTTGTCGTATTTGCAATGCTTTCGGTGAGAATCTCGATTAAATCACCGTACTTTTGTTCAGTATACAATTGATGGACATTATTCAGATTTATCATACGTTCCAACATTACAATTGATTCATTTATGGTTTGTAGATCGATTTTTTTGTTGTGCACTTGATTTGGCAGTACAAGAATTGCGGTGTCATCGTGGGCGATAATTAGATCACGAATCGTTTCAAGACAATTCACTGAACGACGCAAATTGTACTCATAACGCGATAAAACGTATTGTAACCAATTCAAACGCTTTTGATATTTCATGGCGATTTCATTATCAGCATCAAATTCATATAATCCCGAATGAAAAATCATATGATTATACATTAGTAGCCAATCTTCAGCCACATCGCTGAAAAACCAAAGAGAATATTGTTATTTTCGCATACTTTTGCTGAAAACAATTCACTTACTTCTTCACATTTGGTTCGGCCGTCTTCAATGACTGCTCTTGGCGCAACTCCAAATAAAAGAGTGTAATACGGAAAGCTGCTTGGAAATCGTTTTCATTGTACAAATTCCATGTGGATAAACTGTGATGATTTCTAAATGTACATCGATGTTCGATAAATTTACATTATGAAACGATTCAATTCAAGTTTTTTCGATGATAATTCACTTACAAATAATTTGGGAATAATTTTAAATACAATTTCAAAATATCTTCGGGAATTTTTTGCTCCCAGAATCTTGATATGCATTCAATCCACTTTCCGATTAGTGTAATTACACTAAAACTTGTTTCCTGTAAGCGAGAAAAAAAAAAACAATTTTTAGTCGGTTGAATTATGTGAAGATATGATTGAAGGAACCTTTATTTCTTTAATGAGTTGAGCAAATGTGTCCTTTGTCAACTCTTGAAACTTGTCAAATGTGATATCATCGTTTTCAGAGCTGCCTTCGATTGTGGTTGAACGATCAGAAATACTTGATGTGTCTGGATGGAATGGTGATTCGTCATCAAAGTTTTCTCTGTATAAAAATAAATTTGCATTTTAAAAAAGTCCAATTGAATTTGGTACAAAAGTCGACTCACTCATAGTATTTCTCCAGTGTTTTTTTCAAAAGACCCTCGATTGTGGTATCAGTTTCCATGCGTTCAATTTTCTTATTCTTTTGACGTTGTGAACATTTTCGATTTGTCCAATAAAACCATGGATCGAGCAATTTCAAGTCACTACCTCTTCGTCGTGATTTGGGTCTGGTTGCCGGTTTTGAGCCGTCATCTCCTGTAGTCGGAGCATCACTATCTTCAGTGCTGCCATCGGCCGAATTGGCTCCTTCAGGATTCATTACTGCACATTTCATACTCTCTGAATTTGAATTTTCTTGCTTATCCTCTATTGGGATATCGTTTTCCGCATCATTTTCTCCTTTTGACTCTGTGTCAGCATCAATATCTTCAGCGATTATTTCTTCTTTCATCTCCTCTTCCGGTGGTTCGGGTTCAACAACTTCCAATAAAAAGTCAGAGGTTTCAAACATGCTACTAAGAGCCGATCCGTTTTCAATTTCCGAAAGGTGATCGTACAGCTTTGATATCATCGAACCAAATGTAAACCAATTCATTTTATCGAAGGATTCGGTTTTAAACTCTTCGACATCGGGTTTCGTGGGCTCTATTTTCTCTTCAAATTCCGGCGCCGGGAATGCACTTTTCTCATGCGTTCGCTTTAGAGATTTACCTTGAAATTTTATTGACCATGCACTGTGGATTGAATAAAATTATCAAAGACATTTTTTTAGTAAAGGTACAACGAGATAATATGAAAAATTGTACATAAAATACTTGTTAAAACGATATTTTACAAATGACATGAATGGAAGGCTCTAATTCTTTTTTTTATTTGGTTAATTTTAATGTAAAAGTCAAATTGGTCACTTCACTTACTTTTCAATATATTCCAAACCGCAAATACTAAATTTTTCACGAATTTCTAATATCACATCCAATGCTCGAGTATATTTTGGATTTTTATCATGCCATCTCAGTGCCCATCCATACGCTTCGTTGTACTCTTCACGTTGGCACAGTATTTGTAAAATACCATCTCCAGATGGCCAGTGCAGTGGATTTTTCTTCAAACACTGATTTCAAAACAATGTAACCAAGAAAAGACAAAATTAATTCGAGTTGACACACATGGATGATCTAAAGAAAGACGAAACCCGCAACATACCTTTTCAAATGCCATTTGAGCAATATCCAATTGTTTTAAATTCAATGCAATTTGCCCCAATTTATTAACTGTATACACATCAGTGTCATCTAATTCAATTGCCTATGGACAAGGTCACAAAAATATTAAACACACACCGAAACAGAATTTGATGTCAAATTTACCTTAAGTAAAAATTCTAGTGCCAGTTCATTGTCTTTTCTGCTGTTATGTATGAGCGCAATATTTTTATAGCAATTGTATTTGATTGAAATCAATGATTTCGATGTGTGTGTCTTTGTTACCTGAATTAAATACATAACGGTTCATTAAAATCTCAATACAATAATGCGGTTTGTCGAGATTTAACTTACTTCAAATAAAATTTCGGTTTCAAGAAGTTCACTTAGTAAAGACAGGGCGTCATCAATACGTTGTTCTTTTTGTAATTTAAGCGCCCGCATATACTCAGACATAATAATCGTTTCCTAGTTTTAAAAGAAAAAAAAAATACAAAATCCATTTTTCGAATTAGAAAATGTGGCATGGTGCATCGATAAGAGACGAATGTGTGAAATATTATGCGAAAATGTAGCACATAAATGATAAATGTTATTTATTGAGGTTATGGTCATATACATACTTCGGCTTCTTTAGTTACTTTGGTATAATCCTCCTCCTCTGTTTCGGATTCATTATTAATTGCCGTGATGCGATACATTTTCACTCTTGAATCTTAATACTTTTTCAACGACACAATTTATTCGAATACCAGAGAATGTAAATTTTAAACATGCACGAAAAATGTAAATTATTGACTGACTTTAGTTAGTGTTTATTACAAATTAGACGAATACTGTTTTGCAGACGCGATGCCTGTCACTAGCATTCGCGCAATTTTTGTAAACACAATGAGAATCGAACTGTCAAAGTAGAATTGCATTGTGACAGCTGATTCAAAGTAGAAATTTTAGTACATGCATTTTACGTACTAACCAAAATACAACAGGGTGATGTGCGGTTGATTTTAACGATACAATGTATGAAAAAATATTGAATATTTTTTTTCAAAAAATTCATAGGAATTCTCCATGAAATATGTGGCAGTAAAATGTGAAATGCAATCATGAACCAAATTGTTTGTCATAAAGTATAGTTTTCGAGAATGAAAACATCGATAATAATGCCAAAAGTATTGATAGGTACGATAAACGCACCGACACACCCTGTACAATCCCACTAGCATTGCTGAACATTTTCTCTTCTTTGTTTATGGTACGCAGACATATGTGGTAGTATTTGATATATAGAAAAGAAATGCCTTCAATGTTGTACCAAAATTATGTGAGATGTGGTTTACTTATTTCGTATAACTATTAAAGATAAATAATTTGTCTCTTGTGTATAGTAAATAACGAAAGAAGTTAATCAATTCGTCAATTCTGAAATAAAAAAAGTGAACTTCAAGAGCTAAAACTGCGATGATTTGTCAAATATATGTGTATATGTATAAACATTGACGACGCCATATTTATTTCTCATTTGAGATACAGTTCGCATATTATATATTATTAGTATTTATTATGAACTGGCTTGTGCACTAAAAACCCTTATAAGATAAAACATAAAGTTCACATAGTAACTTTTTTTTGTGTGTACAATATACATTCAGTTTTTATTTTTCGTGCGACAATCCCATACATTCAAATGCACACTCTCAGTGGTTCAAGCCAAATAAAAAAAAATCAAATCAACTTTTGAGTGAAAAATTTGAGAAATAAAAAAAAAATATTCTAAAAATGTGAAAATTGTGTGGAAATATTTTTATTGAAAATTTATTATTTGTGAATGAAACAGAAATTTTTCACTCGTTATGTATTAGATATTTTTGGGAGAGTTTAAAACTGTGAAGATAAAAATAGTTCCTAAATTTTTTTTCACTTATTTCAATCTTATAATAATGAATGTGACCATTCAACTTTCTACCCGTGCATTTTTTGGATGAATAAATTCAGCTCGAGGCGAACATGAGATAATTGAGAAAATTTGATTTTCGTGGAAAAAACTTTTTTTTTTTGCATATATAAAAATGTAAGTAAAATTGAATTTATTTTTAAAAAAGAAAAGACAATTTTTAAAATATTTTTCAGAGATTTTTATTCAATTTTTTTTTTTTTTTTTTTTTTTTTATGAATTCAATCTTTAAAAAACCAAGCCATTTAAAATGAGTGAAAACTTGCAAATTTTATCAAAAATAGTTGTGTTTAATTTTAAAGATCGTGAATAGTTCTTAAGAAAAAGAAAAAGAAAAAAAGCAGTGCATTTCCATAGAAAACCAATAATTGGTAGAGAGCAGCACATCTGTAGCGTGCACACTGTTACTACCGTTCGGTTTTATTAAAGTCTTAACATTTTCAAAGCATTTTTCGGAAATTTCGAAAAAATCGTTTTAGAAACTTAGTATTTTACTGCTATTGTTCAAGGTCATTGACCTTTCATTATATTCGAATTGTGCTCTTATTGTACACACATTTGGGACTATTGATTTTTAATCAAAAAATTTTCATGGTGTATACCATGAAAATGCCAAAAAATAATTAAATTTTAATCTATAAAAGACTTTTTTGTCAGACACAAAACAAAATGGTGTATTTTTCGCCATTTCGTGTATATATTCCTGATGTCATTCGTTTATATTGGTATCTTTGATGTCGTTCGTTTAACAATAACACGCACTTCGAAACATCTTTGACTATATAGTGTACATTTATTTCGAGGTATATGCTTCTATTTCGTTTTTTACCTTTCGTGATCAATGTTTCGTGTCAAGTCGAACCTTCATCAAATGATTTTCTGAAAAAATAAAAGGAATTTTCTCTATCTATAGTTTAAACAGAGAATATACTCTTTTCCCGTTCGACATACAGTGGAATATTTATTAATTCAAATACTTTAGTAGATTGAAAAATTCATCTTATTGAGTTGTGTTTCTCCTTCTCTACTGTTGTCGCGTATATCGCTTCAGACGTACATATAGCGCGTAATGTTTCATTTCCAATGACTTTAAAATGGAATTATAAAACATAAAATGTTCGTATAAATTACAGTTTCTTGTTGAATGCAGTAGATTGTGTTGATTTGTGAACGAATGAATGTGGATTTTAATAATAATAAAAAGGGAAATATTTGCCTTGCAATTCAAATATGCTTATGTTGTTCAAAAATTAGTTTATTTTCTTCATGCATTGAATTATATTACAAAATACTTAGCTTACGAAAGGGAATACATGTGTTTTAACAACTACACAAATTGTCACTTGTTACATGTTTGGACCCAGAGAAGCAAACCGAAACCATTTTATTGGTTTCATTTACTGAACGAACGCGAGCAAGCGATACATGTTAAAATGTTTTACACTGTCGTATATACTAATTGTATATGTAGGATAAAACTGTACAGTAGACAGTGTGAAAATTATTTCCAGAACATTCTGCATGTTCCGTTTCATTCAACATACACTGAAACTAATCAGTGAAACCAGTCCGAACACAGTTTGTATGAGAAATGTCTAAGCGCTTTACTTTTCTGGGTGATGCCCTTCTTTACAAAATTATATATTAGTTATTTTAGTTCCTTGCTTGTGTCTTATTCTTCTTTATTCCCCCTTCTTAATCTGTTTGCAAACATTTTGGCAAAGGCTGCTTCCTAGGGGCAGAGCAGTACTAGAATAATCATTTTTGTTTAGAGTAATTCTATGTTGTGAGTAGAAATTCATATTAATCCGCAGTAGTACACACTTGTGTAAATTCTAACAGCAGTGCAATGACGTTTCATGTGTACGTTGTGTATTACATTTGTTAGGAATAAAGCGATCGTCGTATATTGCGGATTGAAACAATTTATTCGATATTTATTAAATTAAATTCGTTATTTTCCATTTTTTAACAATAAAATGTCTCATCCGAAATATGCCTGGCAAATGTCATACACAACGTACACATGAAACGTCATTGCACTGCTGTTAGAATTTACGTAAGTGTGTATTACTATGGATTAATATGGATTACAACTCACAACATAGAATTACTTTAAACAAAAATGATTATTCTAGTACTGCACTGCCCCTAGGCTGCTGCTATACATAGCAGACGAAGAATAAGAAACGAAGGGTATGCACACATACATGTACTTTGTGTTTTCGTAACTGACGCACGGTGTAAATTCCTAGAAAGGAGCTCTTAGATAATAGTAAATTTGTAATTTGACTATTTATCAATAGATGGCGACACATAAAATAGCAACTTCGAAACAGATACGCATTTCCTATATGGACACTCGCCCAAATGTCGGACTATTTGTTTGAATTTTCAACTTCAATTTAATATTTAACACTTTTGATTTCATCTAAAAATATCATTCTTTACACAATTCTATGCAGAATTTAATTGTGCTTCATTTTACAATTGTCAAAAGAAAGAAATTTCCAAAAATATATTATTATTTTCCATTTTTCCGTCGTAACATCGAAAATTCCATATGTCGGATATTCGTCGTCCAATTCTCGGCTCCCAAATCTCGACATATTTCATGAATTTTCACTGCGAAACTTGAACAACTTTAAGTTTTGACAGCTCAGGAACGCATTCTTTACATTGAGGAAAACAATACAAAATATCGAAGTTGAAATTATTGGATTGATATATTTTTGCTGCATATTTAATTTTATTTATTTTTTTCACAATAAAATGGCAAAAATATTTAAATATATTATGTTATTTCACTGATCTATAATATTTTTGGTTGAATTTCACAATGATACAAATACGACTTTAACTGTCACATCTGTCAAATGCAAAGTGTTTCACTTGAAACTTCGGTGCTTAATGTGTCGGCAATTGGATTATTTATTCCGGAATAATATTACAGTGAAAAATGGAACATAAATATAATTGTTTTTCTTTATATTTTCAATATTTCTGTTCAATAACTAAAATAAATTATCTACAATTCGCAGATATAATTTTTTTTTCAAAGTAGCTATTTTTTAAAAAAAGTGATAAAAATATAGAATTTTTTTTGAACGTAATTTTTGAAAGCAATAATAGATTTTTGATGAATATTTGGATTATTATATATAGATTTGATATTGATCATTCATAATTTGTTTTTAAAAATGCAATTAAAACGAATTTTCGATTTTTTATTTCAATTCACCTATCGGTATTCCGACATTTGGTCGTGTGTCGACATTTGGCAATCTACTGTACTTATCGTAAAAAATGTAATAAAAAATCGCGTGCTGAGAAAAAATAAATATTTGTGTATTATACCCAGTGTATAATAATTTTTGTTACTGTTTTTCTCAGCACGCGATTTTTTATTACATTTTTTACGATAAGTATAGGAAATGCTTATTTGTTTCGAAGTTGCTATTTTATGTGTCGCCATCTATTGGTAAATAGTTGGAACTACTTTCTTACTAAAGTGTCATAAAATTGCTAAGAGACCCTTTACCAACTCATCATTCATTCAAAAAACCAACGCAAATTTCCTTATCAGTCGAAATTTTTACGATTCCATATCTATGTTTCCAATGGGTGGTGATTGATCAAGGAGAATAGAAATGAATCACCTACAAATAACGAGAGCGATATTAACAATACACATTGCGTTATTTCATTCTTATTCTAATTTTCGAGAAAATATAAATCCCACTTACAAATAAAGTGACCAGAATTTTCAGACGATAAATGAGGTAAATGTTTGCTACATAGCACGAGTTTACTAAGTTTTTCTGAGAATGCGCACTCCGAAACGCGAATCATCCCACTCGTCAATATACATTTATAGAGGCTAGGCACCTAAGGAAAAGTAAATACTGTGTTGAAGACTCTTCAATTTTAACGAAGTTCATCAAGCAGAGATTGTAATTTAAAATCCGAATAAGGAGTTTTTGATTCCACTCGAAGAAAAATTTATTATGAGGGAGGGAGAGAATTTGGCTCAAAAAATCCTAGCAAATCGGAAGAATTTCTCTCAGTAAAAAAAAACCCTGATCGGGTATGATTGCAACTTTCATGCCATTTAATCAATTACTGACTCATTGAAATGGGCACGACGAAGTGTATTTTGCTTGAAAAATGCTGCCAATACTGATAAATGAGTTGCCTACAGATGGCATTATCTTCGAACTTGCACTAAGAAGAAGTACCAAACCACTGGATGGCGCTGTCCTTCTATTTAAAATGAATTGATATTTGGTCACACTGCAATTATGTTCCATAAGAGACTGTATAAAATGCAAAACTATAGCACAGCTAGCGCCACTACGTAGAACTATGGAGTTCTAGTCAGTTTAACTTTTCACTAGTTGGTGGCAACTTAGAATAGATTACATTGAATTCCGTCGTGGCGCTAGCTGTGTGACACTTTGAGCATAATTTCGGTACGTATTTAACACAAGTTTCCAGTTCTAAAGTGATGATGTTTAGACCGTGATTTTATGCAGATCCTTTCACTTATAAAAAATCCAAATTCGTTAATACATTCCGAGATTCTACTGTATTACACCCTGATCGGGTATGATATATGTAGATAAGTTTATGCAAATTATCAAGAGAACTGTCATAAAACAGCGCCACTACTGAAAACATAGACGTTGCCGCGTCTGTGTACATAATTGCCTAAGCATGAGTGAGTAAATGTATGGAGTAGTTCCAAAAAGATCCGCCGTATTCATTGACAGCGCTCTTATGGAACAGATATTTTAAAATATATTTGAAACTATAGAACACAATTTATGAATGGATAAAAAACTCAATACGGAGAAATACTGAAGAAAATTGCATTATCGGCAGATGTTAAATAAAAAATGGAATCAAAACAGAAAAAAAAATGCCAAGGCAATTCACATCGTCCAGCCGTTGCATTCCACATTCACCCTATGTTCACTAATTTTATGTTCTGTATGACAATAGGGTGTGACAAATACAATAGTTGTTTTGAGCGGTATGGATTGCAAAACTTAAAGTACACTCCGCTGGTAGTATATTAACGATGTCATACGTTGATGCACGTGACAATGGCATAA